AAACTAAACCATGATTATACATATGCATGAAAACATAAGACACAAACACAAAAGGAAACGAAAATTCAATGATATATACAGATACATGGAAGAACCAGAAGGAAGCCAAAATACATAAATACATAGAGACTTCTATATCCATACATAAGAGGAAACGACAAGCATGTGTGCGGTGAATACGGTTGCACACACCTGTGCCGTAGACGACGAGACGTGCGAAAGCAGAGACGTAATGGAAACACGCTCGTAGGAATTATTGTGGGCGGGATCTTCGATATCCGAGGAACCTGGTACATAGCTGGGTATAGATGAGTCCTGAACCGGGCCTGGTATCGATGACTCATAGTCAACACTCGGCATGGCTGGTTGCTGGTCTGATTCGGATAATTCAGGGCCTATAGTAGGGTCTAGAGCATCCTCTCCTGCCTCTGTGTGCGCAGGTGTCATGGAATGCAGTATCTGTCTAGTCTGTGACCCGATAATCTCGAAGCTGTGGCCGCTGCTTGTTTCGTAGTCTACAGAAATTGGGACCATATATTGGCATGAGCAACTAAAACAAAAAACAAACCAAAAAAAAACAAAATTGGGTCTGAAAACCGTCAAAACTTTGTATTTGGCGTGTGTGACTTTAGAATATGAACAAGTGCCTGGGACCAGCACAGATCATGAATTGACTCGAGACATGCGGATAGGATGGGATGGGTCTACTGGAGACTTTATTGCCACCCAACATATAAGTGACTTAATACCCTAAACCGTAACTTTAACCCTAACCCTAAAAGAGAAACATCGCGGCAGTAACAAAATAAACATCTAGGTAGTAACTGGAAGAACATCCCGGTATGTATATTAGCTAGTTATACATACCGGTTTCCACGGAATAAATATACCGGTTTTCATGATATATACATACCGGGATTAGCTGGTATAGAACATCCCGGCATTTACTAAAGAAACATCGGGGTATTAACTGAACGAACATTCTGATATTAACAAAATAAACATACCGGGACGAACTGATATAAAACAAACCGATAAGTATACCGGTGTTGTCGTCATCCCGGTCGTCGGCAGCTCCGGGCAGATCTTCAAAGGCTTTCCTTGCTTGGTACATCAGACTATTGGGAAAACAATTAGGGGTGGGGCTGAATTGTACCAAGCCATTAGTAGAATAATACAGCCAATACATAGACAGACTGTGCAAATCCAATAATAGATAGACAACAGCCTATACGTTTCAAATCTAAAAATAGATTAAAAGTCTATAAGTTTTTAACCCGACAATAGATGAAAAAAGCCTATAACTATAAAGTTTAAAAATAGGTATACAAACGCCTATATGTATACAATATAATAGTAGATGGAAAAAAGCCTATATATTTATAACCTGATACAATAAAGGCAAAAGCATATATGTTTACAATCTGATACCGTATAGACAAAAGCATACATGTTTACATTATAATAATAGATAGACAGAAGCCTATATGTTTCCAATCCGTTTCTAGATAGACAAAAGCCCATACGTTTCAAATCAATGATAGATAGACAGTAGCCCATATGCTTACTATGTAACAATAGATGGCAAAAGCCTATACGCTAATCTATTAATAGATAGACAATATCCTATGTTTCTACATACACATACAAGAATAATATATACATATATCAGAGCTGTAAACGGCACATATTAGTCGGGTAGTTGGCGTGGCGCTATCCTGGATGTGACGGCCATTCGTACACACTACATACACAGATATGAAAGTGGTCCCAGTTTGTCTATAGGAATGAATACACAGAGGTGTGGTTTGATCTTCTATTTCAACGAGAGTCACAGCTACCCTTCGAAGTATTAAGACTTTAGTCGTGTGCCTTGGCCCTATGACTCTCCCAAATAGGTGCAGTACTGGGGACGCCGTGATAAATCTATCCGTACTAATATCTCCCATTGATAAGAACAACAGTCTCAGCTCAAAGATCCGGTACACTTACCCTTTCTCGGGATAGGGAGTGTGTGCAGGTGTGTACAGATCCTCATTCACTGCCAAAGTCAGGCCTAAAGCTTGACTCTGTGTCAAGTCTGGTTCACGCGCCAGCCCTACTCAGCGCAAGGTATACGAAGAAAACAGCGGTGTGAGGAGTGGCTCATGTGTGAAACATAGAATAAACCCTATATTTATAGACGATGTTGGGTGCCCCTAATGCTCATTTTGAATGCCCACCATATATATATTACGATCTCTATTTTGTGTTATTTTTATTTTTGTCACAAATATGATATGATATTTATTTTACGTACTATACGAATTTTTGTATGATATACAATATTATATTTATCAATGCGAAGAAAACAATATATACATATTCAATTATAGAATACGTTTATGAACTCACACCCGATGTGTTGTACTGCCCGTATCAATGAATTTAACATACACATATCATATATCGTACAAAAATCATCATATAGGAAAAAAACCCTATATACTAAACATAAAATAGACATCAAATTGTATATCGTACAGAAATCCGTATAGTACGTAAAATAAATATCATATATGATACAAAATTCATATACCACAAAATATATATCATATTTCATATCATTGAAAAACGCAAATAACACTCATTTAAAATAAATATCATATTTATGATACGAAATTCCATACACCACATAAAATACATATCATATCATATACAATTGATTCACAACACAGCCCTCGATGGGCTGTACCTGGTCCACTGGCCGATACATTCCGGTCGTCAGTTGCCTGGCCATCATTTGACATATTCTTTGACACTTTTGCTGACACTTGCTGCTCCATGTAGTTCGTAGCCAGATCATTTAACACGCCCAGGGAATCTGTGTGAAGGGTCACCCGCCCGTCCAGCGAGTTGATCTAAATCAGGGATATTCGCCGTATGAGTAATTAAGATATATACATAGATAGCATATACGTATACATACACAGTTATGTATATGGGTATATGCATATACGTACATAGTTGTATATATATGGGTATGTACATATACGTACATAGTTATATATATGGGTATATACATGTACTAATACAGTTTTATACAGGTATAAATATATAGTACAGTACCGTACACACACACACACACACACACACACATA